TGCGAATTTCTACTTTACTAGAAAACGGGCGTTGAATGTTCCTTCCCTTTTCCTGCGCTGCAATGAAATGTAAAACCCACAAGTGAGCAATTGAGGAGCATTCCGGAAAACGGGCACATATGCGTAAGTGCCCTTTTTCCGGAAATGACAGAAATGGATTCCTCGCATCCTAATGTACCAATATCCCGAGTTTCAGCTTAATTAATCAATTTTTGGAGCTAAGAGACCAAGTTTTGTGAGACTAAGTAGGGGTCAGAGGTGTATTTCGCCTATTTGCCTCTGGGTACGGTACCGCCGCGGCCGCGACGTTGAGGCAGGCAGGCAGGTGATGAGTACTGATAAGGATCCCTCACTACAGACAGATGCATCATGCATCGTACTGATTCTGCGAATCAATGCAATAGCATTGGGCTACAGGGATTGTCTCCGCGTTGCACCGGTCACACGTGAATTTGTGTAATTAATAACCATTCAATTTTTAATGGTCTCCTGCGAGTTTGAATTTTTCGATTTTTTCGCGTGTTTCGCTGTCTTTTTCATTCATAATGATCGAGGATGATCCACCAACACGTTCGCCATCGAAATTATTATTTACTAATCAATCGGAATTATTTATTTTTGTTTAGAAACTCGTTAAGGTCTCGAAAATTCAGCTTCGAAAGCCAAAACCTATGACTACCGGTCCATTTCCGGAAAAAGGGCACATAACGGAAAATTTTAAAAAATTCCTCCCACAACACTGAAAGAAGTGTACGTTTTACCAATGGTCATTATCAGTGGCGTGGCGTGAATAATTGATTATCGATATCTCGCCATTTGAAGCTATGGTAAAGAATCGATTACTAAGGTGTTCGCTGCGAACACCCTGATAATCGATCTTTTTTCATAGGTTTAAATGGCATAACAATCGATATATTTCAATTCACGCCACGCCACTGGTCATTATTCATTCTAGGATGTATGAACGTTGATATGAGTGCCCCAGTTCCGACGTGTGTCATCATCAGTGCCCAGAAAAAAAGAATGAAAACTTCAAATGCGTTATTCTCACAACGCGTTTTTTCGGTATGTGCCCTTTTTCCGGAAAGCTCCTTAACTAAGGGCCGTTCACAAACCGTTCATAAACCTAACGCAATGGGGGAGGGGAGAGCCAGGAGGGCGTTACGCCATTTTGTTTCGCGTTTTTAAAGATAGGAGCCCACGTCACGAAAAGTCCTACGGTGTACGAGGAGAGAGAAGGGGGGGACGAAAAATCCAAGAGTTAGAGTAATGTAATTTAGAAAGGGTCTCTTACCTTAGAATGCACGTTTTCTTCTAATACTATTGAAAACAGGACCTACATGATATTAATTACCGCGCAATTTTGGTGGAGAGGATACACACGCCATTTGAATTTTTTTTTTTTTTGGACCAAATTATCCGCACATTCTCCAATCATGCTCGTGTGACACTTGATTTTATTACGGGTGTAGTCTCAATTAAGGCTGTAGTCTCCATTAGTTACTTTTTTAGAGCAGATAGTATGCATAATTTTTAAATGAGTAATGAGTATAGTTTATGTCTTCTAAAAATTTGATTTTTGGCTGTTACGACCTTTTTCAACTAGGCGGGTTAGTTTTTGAGCGCGAGCTATTATGCTGAGGTTCTTCCCTCTAAACTAGTCTGAGCTAGCCACTGATAATTCGTTATAACAAGCATGGTGCGCTCGAACTTACAGTTACTCACATAAGTATCCATGCCGCAACTTTATCTTGTTGAGCAATATAATTCTGGTGTTGGCTGTTAGAGGCTGCGCGAAGCCAATGGCCAGTCGCATGGACTCAAAAGTACCGTTGTTTTTATACAGGGTGTCCCAAAAGTCCCTTCCACCCCCTCTAAAATTTTACCTAATTAATATTTTGAAACGAAACTTTGGGGATGTTCATCGATCAATGTAAGCTATTTTTGAGGCCCTCCAAAATTTTCGGGGACCCCCGTGGGGAGGGGCTGCGGACCCCAACTTTTTTTTTCAAAAAGCAACCCCTATCTTGTGATACCTCATTCGAAAGAGCATAAAAAACCTAAGAATTTTGGCGCAAACCGCAGATCAATATTTTAATTTTTGACCGAGTTATGATAGGTCAAAGGTCAAATTTGACCTATTTTCAAAAAATCATAACTCCGGTTCAAATTATCGTAATGAAAAAAATAAGACGGGAAAATTTACTATATTGTAAGCACTTTTAAGTAAAAATCACAGAAATTACTTCAAACTAATTTTAAGGGGGGTTTCGGACCCCCAAATACGCCAATTCAAGGGTCATTCAATTTTCCCGCGAAATAAGCCAATTTCCCCCAGATTGGCCTCCACATTAGTTCAGTAAGGTCAAAATCAGTTCAACATTACGTTGGCAAGTCCTCAAATTTCGGGAAAAGTTAAAAAAAACGAAATTAAAGGTGATTAAATTTGACCGTTTAAATTTTTTTTTTTTAACTTTTCCCGAAATTTGGGGACTTGCCAACGTAATGTTGAACTGATTTTGACCTTACTGAACTAATGTGGAGGCAAATCTGGGGGAAATTGGCTTATTTCGCGGGAAAATTGAATGACCCTTGAATTGGCGTATTTGGGGGTCCGAAACCCCCCTTAAAATTAGTTTGAAGTAATTTCTGTGATTTTTCCTTAAAAGTGCTTACAATGTGGTAAATTTTCCCGTTTTATTTTTTTCATTATGATAATTTGAACCGGAGTTATGATTTTTTAAAAATAGGTCAAATTTGACCTTTGACCTATCATAACTCGGTCAAAAATTAAAATATTGATCTGCGGTTTGCGCCAAAATTCTTAGTTTTTTATGTTCTTTCAAATGAGGTATCACAAGATAGGGGTTGCCTTTTGAAAAAAAAAAGTTGGGGTCCGCAGCCCCTCCCCACGGGGGTCCCCGAAAATTTTGGAGGGCCCCAAAAGTAGCTTACATTGATCGATGAACATCCCCAAAGTTTCGTTTCAAAATATTAATTAGGTAAAATTTTAGAGGGGGTGGAAGGGACTTTTGGGACACCCTGTATATGCACGCCTATTTCGCTTGGTGTAGGACTCCAGGTAGACCCGAACAACAATAATTGGACTGATAATGAATTCAACAGGAACGCATCAAGTCTCATCAAGTTTCATAGTGAGCCGAGAAGATGATGTCTAAAGCATGTGTTTATGAAATGGTGACAAGGTGCAACATCCATGGCGAAAGTGCCAAACCACGTTTCAGACGACCAGACTTCCAGTCATACTTATTTTTTTCATTTGAAAACTAGTCATTGTAGTTTCTTGAAAACTTCTTTCATTTTCCTCTCGGGTTAGCAGAATATTATATTCAAATGTCAGAATCAGTACCATGACACTTATAGTTAGAGAGATGACACTTATAGTTACCATGACGCATTTAGTTAGAGTGATGTGTATACTGCTGTGTTTAGGAAGAACGTCGCATAAGCCCTCGAATGTTGCTAAATTCCCTTCGATACGGTACGAATTTTTTCGGGAACTTGAATGTATTCTTCTTCCAATCTTTTACAGAAATTCTCTCGCAACCTTGATTTCAAGAGAAAATAGGTAGTCATAACTCTCCTCAAAAAGAAATATTCTATTGATGAAACGTTTGGACGTATTTCTACCAAACGGAACTATGTGCATTAAGACATCAGCCCTGAGCCTGAGACCCATCAGCATATATGCATAACAGGGCTCACGTCATAATGCACAAATTTCCGTTTCATTGAAATACGTCCATTTTGGAACATTCGAATGTTCCTACGGCAGTTTTGACGGCGCGCTAAGCTAAAATGCCGTATGATTATTTGAACGTTGACAAATTTTTCTTTATGCAACATTTGAAGAAATTTATGAATATTTTTCCCTGAAATTTTCGGCTACTCTAGATTAATTTGCGAATGAAATTTTCTGAAAAATGAGGAGAAAATGTACGCAAATTTCCCTGTAAATTCGTATTTTATCACTGCAAAGACAACGCCTGAAAACTCATACGGCGTTTCTCCTCAGGGTAATTCGTCACGGTTTCTGGCGTGGTCGAACTGTCGTGCGATTTATCGCATCGATGAAGTAAAAAATCTGGGCCGGTAGATTTCAATTTTTAGCTATAAAAAAGAATGACTGCTCCTGCGCGTGAGCGTAAAGAATTAGCTCAAACTAAAAAATTGGGAAATTTTAGAGAAATGAAAGACGGATCCCTTTCGGAAAAAACCTCGGATTCCATACTGAAATCAATAATCGTATCAGATGAGAGGTATTTTTCCGCCAAGGATGCTGCTCTCGTTTTTTCGCGGATTTCATGAATTTTGCCAATTTTTTCATTTATAAATATTCTATAGACTGTGCGCAGGGGGTACAATTCTTTTCTTGGCAAAAAATTTAAAACCTGCCCAGATTTATGATTTCATCGTTACGATAAATCGCAAGCCAGTTTAACACGCACAGTGGATCGAGTCAATTAGAGAGGTCGAACATGACATTTTTTACTAAATTTACAAATTTTGGTTTTTATTTTGTCACATTTTACATTTCAAGAGGTGCTCCAAGAAGAAAATTTCACGAGGAAACCAATGGAACTACTTTAAGGACCTTAAAAATGTGTATAAACGGAGTTGAAAGCGTTCAAAGTTTTCAAATTTTGTCGGACCTCTCTTATTGACTCGATCCATTGTGCGACATGAGGAACTGTGACGAGTCACCCGAAGATGGCAATATGGTGAGAGCATAGGATGCGAGCAGGAGACAAAATCATCGAGGAAGCCTGGAATTCGAGTATCGGAAGGTATTATCTTTCCTGTTGCAGAAAGAGACAGCGAGACAGCAGCGCAGCGGACAAGGTGCGGATCTAGGAGACTGGAAGCGTAGGCTAGGAACGGGAATGGGTTGAGAGGAGGGGGGCGGGGGGAGTAGGAGCGTGCACCCGTAGGATTCACCGGCTGCGATGCAGCTTGGAACCGCTTTCCGTATCAGTTGCGAGAATATCGCCGTCGCTGTCGTGTCGAGGACGCCGCGTCGCTCCTGTGCCGCTCGAATTCGCGTGGGTCTGTTTACTTCCAGTTTGTGGTCCTCCTTCATCCTTGTTTCCCAGTTTCAATTCCTCGCTTCGGCATGTAAACGTGCTCGGGTCTTGTGCTTGGTGTTTCTGCTCCTTCCAAGTTGTTCTCTCCTTGTTTTTTGTTTCCTTGTGAAATGTGACAGAGTGCTATGGCTTATCGAGGCTTGAGTCGACACGTGGATATAGAAGGCCTTCCGTCCCCTGGAAATCGCTTCACGCTCCAAGAGCTCATCGGCGAAGGCACCTATGGAGAGGTTTTCTGCGCTTTGGATACTACCACAGGTCAGTTTCCATCCTTCATTTCACAGTCACTGGGTGCTTAGTCCACGCTTGCTTTGGCAAAAAGTGGAATTCTGTGCAAATGAAACTACACCCTTCCGGTCACTTAGCTTCAATCAAATGATATTTGTCACGGTGTAAAGTTATTCCCCCATTGAAGTCTGAAAACGTCATTGTATGTAACAAAAGGCATAGGCGGTTCTACGGGGGTGCCAGTGGGTGCCGGGCACCCCCAAGCAAAAATTAAGGACGGTTACTGGAACCGTGAAAGAGGCTTTTGGGCAAGTAAACACGTCAAGAAAACATCGTATTATGAAGCGCAAAAAATTGGCAATATTTTTATTTCATGAATTTTTTAAATCTGAAAATCAATCTAAAAAAGACCAAATTACTGCTTTTAAAGATTCTGTATTCGCTCACACTGAAAAAAATCCCAGCAATTAATTGAAAATGTTTTAAAACAGAATTAATATTGATAGCCGTGTTTTACAAAGATTCTACCGTTTTTTTTATGGTAAGAATGTAGTTTTGGTGGAAAGTTTTGTTAAAAATTTTCTACGTTGAAATTATAAGTATTTAAGTAGAAAGAAAGGAGAGAAAAAGAGAAAGGAGGGTAGGAATGGGATAAAACTTGAGGGCCGAAAATTAGGCTTCCCCTGAGCGACCGTCCCCTTTGGGGCCGGTCTCCGACATTTTCCACCTCTGGGCACCCCCAAACATGAAGGTCTAGAACCGCCTATGACAAAAGGTACTCCTGCATTGATGGCTATCCTGAAGTTGGCCTTGCAGAGAACCTCCACTGCTGTTTCGAATTGAGTATCAAGTCCTCGGTGAATCATTCATTTACAAGGATTCTATTTTAGGAGTCCATCTTTAAGATTGTGTTCAATTTGGTGCACTTCTTCCATCGATTTTTATTGAAAATCTCGCCGACCGCTCTAGCAGTGAAAAGGTACCTTTATCATTACGACTTCCCTCTTTCAAAGTTAGTGTAAGAAGATGAGGATAGAGGAATAACATGTTCAAGTAGGAGACTCAGGAACTCATTTAAAGTAAAAATGCAGTGTACCCTGCCCTTGAGCACGGTGAGACGCGGTGACAAGTCCCCAAGAAACCCTTGAAAGTCCGGAAATTCTTTGTGGGCCCTCGAAATTTTTTTTCTTCCGTCAGAATATTGTATTTTTTTCAGTTACCAAAAGACTACGAGCTTACATTCTCTGTGGAAAGAATTTGTATAATAAATCATGCTTGTAGAAAAAAACGTTGAACCGTCCGGGAATTATATGCTCCAAATCCCTGAAAAGTGAGGAAGTTTCGAAATCTTGAAAACGTGTCACCTCGCTCGAAGCAGTATGCAACTACCTACGTACCTCTATAGGTACATAGTTCAAAATCCACCTTACGGATGCTTTTTATTTCTGCAGCTCCTTTTTGTGGTTTCAAGTCCGATCTAATCACCTCTCTCCTTCCTCTATTAGGAAGAGTGATTCATTCAGATTCGTGATGCACATCGATGCCCTAGTCGAAAAATGCGCATCTCCAATCGCGACGTCACAAGCGTCCCCTCGTGTCTTATTTTATCAAAAGAAAAGTAACTGAAATCGTTGCTCTGAATCCTTTCTCAAAGTTTGGACAGGAAAATTCAAATAAATACCGCAGCTAATTTGCCTGTTTGAAAATAAAATTCAAGTGGAGATTTTTAAACTTTGCAATGGAGGATTGGAGGTGCGCATTTTTTGCCGGTGGCCTCTGGCCTTCGATATTCTTCATACGAATAACGATGGCTAAAGTGCGAGACCATTTATCTCCATTTGCGACGTTGTAGGTTTCCAGTCATACTTTATGTTTTCCTTGGAAAACTAGTCAGTGTAATTTCTTGAGAACCTGCTTGATTTTTCTATTCTGCCAGTAGAATATCTGTGTAAATCTCTAGCCATGAAGTAGACTCGTTCCCTTTCGAAATAATGGACAAAAATGCGCGACATAAAGTGAGAAATAAAGTGACTTTATCTTAAACAAAATCCCAGTAAGTAGTATAAGTAATCTCGTTCTTGATCCCCTGTTTTTTGGCCCTTGTCTATTACCATGCCATCGTCCGCGAGAATCTCCTGCGAATGAAACAACAGGATTCATGAAGCCCCTGATTTAGTCTGGTGAATGTTATGTAAATGTTATGAAATTTGAATAATTATCAAAATGAATTTATCATGACAAAAAGACTCTCAGCCTTGTTATGACTAAAATTATATTTAGGCACTTAATCGCTTTCTGTCGTAACGGTTATGATCTTTAGTGCAACAAAAAACTTTAGCAAGAAAACTTGTTATCTCACTATACTTAATAAGCTTACTTTTTCTCGTTGCCAGTGGAGCTCTCCTTAGGTAAATCCGACCCTAGTCATCGTAAAGACCGAAGAGTGCCTGTCGTACTCCAGTGTAATTCAATTATTACTGCTCATTAAAGAATGCATGGTTCGGAATTATCGTTGTTGTGCGATAAGTAGGACGATAAGAGAACGTATTGAGTGTCGAGTGCCACTTAACAAACGAACTAGTGTACGTCTTTCAAGTTCTGTTTCAAAACCAAAATAAAGACAACATGATTCGAATTCGTCTCAGTTTTCCACCATAGTTCCGCGCATTTCGAGCACGCATCATTTCGGAGTGACCACTCAAACTCAAGGTCCTTCTCACGGATATTCTTTGAAACGCCGATTATGCGGGAATAAACGAAAAAAAATAAACATCATCTAAAGAGAAATCCACTGATAAATCTTAGCTGCCTTGTCAGTTATAGAGAATCCACGGAGAATTGTGATATGCAGGGGCGGACTGGTAGTCGAAAAGTTAGGAGGCGCCCTAAATGTGGGGGCTCCTCTAAGAAGGTCGGGGGGTCCTCCCCCGGAAAATTTTGAAAATTTCATACTTTTTAAACGCAATTTTAAGCATTATTGGAGTTAAATTCTACAGTTCTTGAACTTCAAAACCCCATTCTCAGGATTCTTCGGGGGCCCCTTCATCTCATAGTTCTAGGCGACCTTTCATGTCTCTTAGAGACAAATTTTCAAGGATTTTGGGGCCTTTTAGTGACTGAAAAGGATACGAAAATTACAAATTTACGAGGGGAAAAACGACGACTCGAAAAAAATTCGCCCCTTTGCGGGACCTCCGCAGCAAATTGTTAGGAGGCGATCGCCTCCCCGCCCCATGGCCAGTCCGCCCCCGGTGATATGGCATCCTGCTCCTCACTTTAGATTGTTTTTTAGTTGCTGGTTCTCGTTTCCTTTCTGTCTGTATATTCATCGATGTACACAATTATTTTATGAGCTGCATAGCAAGAAATGATCAGGACCAGACTAATATTATTGATTTGTGAAGCTATTGAGAGCATGTTAACGAATTTGCATAAATCAAGGAACTGATTTATAAAACGTATTTAATCAATATCATCATCTCAAAATTTTATTGATACCTGAGGCCTTATGCTATGGAAGTTTGCTCGGTTTAGTCCTTTTGAAATCGGATATCGAGCGACAGCTGTCTTTTTTTGCAAAAATATTTTTACTGAACTGACTGAAATTCTCCTGCACCAAGAAAGCTGTAGAAAGTGGTTGAGCCAGAACTTTGGTCAAGATTTTCCATTACGGGATGCAGCTACGAATACGAATTCGGTTGGAGACTATTTGCATAATAGCGCGAGGAATGCAGAAACAGAGCCACCAGAATTGTCCACTTTCATTTTCTGCTCTATATGATTATTTGATTATTCAGTCACCTAACTTAGTATTTTGAATCAATGTCTACACTCACGGTGAGCAACATTCCTTAGAGGTGCTTTTCTTTTTTAATCGGCTATCAACTGCATTTTATCTCTTTTTTTTAGAAGTTTCTCCACGTGGATCTCCTTACATTTTCAGTTTTGAGAGGCTTCATCCTCAGTGCATGTTTTTTTTTATGCAAAGCCAATTGTCTCCACCATTCAATGAAGTTATTGCATGTTGTGGGGATTTTTGGTTCAATCATTTATTTCTATATTCTACTTTGCAAAAAATACCCTACTGAACCAACCCTGAAGCTCATGAAAGCTTGCCAAGTTCAGGTCATGATAGAAGAGCTGTAGTCGTGCTATTACATGGTCAGAGTATGCCTCTATTTACAGTATTTTGAATGTAGAGATGGATGATCCAGGAATAGAGATGCAAAACGAAATTTCACGGAATGAAATTTCAAATTTTATTTTCCTTGAAATTTTTATGATTTTACTGGGGCTGCGTATGAACGTATGAAATCTGCAGCAATTATCAGAGAACACGTTAAAAAACTTCGAAATTTGACCCATGATATTTTTTTTCTAAATTTCAAATTAAGATTTTACTGTTCCCATGCATTTCATGTCTTACTGGCTCCATCGAAGATCTTTTAAAAAATGTCGTATTTTCTTCCTTAAAGTTTCGTAAAATTTTTCATTTCTGGCCAGAAGTAATAGTTCTTTATTGGGAAATATAGTCAAGCCAGGGTTACCTTTTTACGGGGGTTAGAAAACTACAGGGGCTAAAAAGCTTAATCCTAAAAAAAACAGCAGTCGTCGCACAAACTGACAATATGGCTTTTTACAGAAACAACATACTTGTATGTTCTCTTTATTTAGATAAGTACGTGTTTTTATTGATGAGCCGTAAATAGCAGTTCCTTAATGCAAAATCCAGTTTAAATGATAATACTTCTGTTGAAGATGAATGCGAAAATATCACCATAGACGGCTCCTTCCTGTTATTGCACTGCAGGATGATTGTTGAAATTGATCGACAAAACTATTGCCAAAGAAGACATAAGGAAAATGGAGCGACCTTTTTGGTAGAAACGGGTGGTTATTATAGACTAAATGGGAACTGATACGGTAACTATAGAATCATTAAGGGTTGCTGTTAGCTAATCTAGTATACCTCCTTTGTTCATTGCAACCACCCGCTCCTACCGATAGAATCGCTTCGTTTTCTCTTCGTC